TTCTTTTGAATGTTGAGTTTTCAAGGAAATTAAGAAAATGAGTTAAAGCTTTGCTTTAAGGGAACATGATTTGCACAGCTTCAGCTGCATCAGTAACGCTCTGTAAACAGGCCAGTCCTGAGAGAAGAGAAAGCAGGCCACCAACTCTGCCAGAGGTCCACTGCCATCCTACCAGTAACAACAAGGTACTGGCAGCACGAGTTCTTTGCTCCTTTTGTTTGCTTAGGGGCAACTTTATTATCCTACTAGAAGCCGGTGCACATTTGTGCACTGGGGGGCGGGGAGTGGGGGTATCTCAGCCCAGCCTGCGCCCTCTTGCAGAAACCGGAAGCCCTCAGGGAATGTCTGACTGACAGGCCCGCTTCCTGCCTAAGCTGACAGTAGGACATCCTCAGCACTACCACAGAGGCAGGAGAGCTTCCCACCACCGCCACTGCGCTCCTCAGCCATAAGCCCTGCTTCTGACCACCTGCATTGAGTGCCTGCCCCCTGGTGGTCAGTGCACCTCATAGTGACTGGTCATTCCACTGTTCGGACAATGTGCATATTACTCTTTAATTATATAGGATTCATGTTCTCTAAACTATCCCTGATTTTGTACAAAACAAGGGCCGGTGGGAAAAGGGTGTGGGGGGTACGGGAAGAGACTGGACAAAAATCGTACACCTATGGAGGAAGACATTGGGGACAGGTAAGGGCAGAGGGGGGAGTGGGAACCAGATGAAGGGGTGATATGGGGGGGGGGGGTAATTGTAATTATCTGAACAATAAAGGTTAAAAAATAAAAATTAAATAGTTTAAACAAACAAAAACAAGGGCCAGTTCTAGAGGAATTATATTAAAGGAAAACTATTACATGCACCAGAGGTTTAACACCTAGATAATCCAAATGATACTTGATTCAATTCAATTCCAAATCAATTATAGGTAAAGAAAAAAAGCCACAAAGCAAATTTTCTTTCTATCTCAGGAGATCAACTAAAAGAATTATTTAAGTCCAGTTGCTTCCTTGATATTTACACCAATAATGAAAACAGAAAGCAGAATTCTTAATGATCAAGAGTTTCAACTTGGGAACCATTTAACACAGCTTAATAGATTCAACACATAATGGTCTCACCTTTTTAAATGCCCAAGTTTCAAAACCACAGAATTAGAATGAATCCATATTGTACAACCAGCACAGAAACCACAGTTTGCTGAACAGACCCGGCCAAGGCACCCAACTCCACAGGAGATCAACCAGAAAACATCTTCCCAACCTTTCCAATCACTAACAGGTGCAAGAAGCCCTATCTAAAACGACCACTCTGCATCATGGGTAATTTTTCTATATTAGCACAGGCATGTCATCAAAAGAAAATATAGTACTTAAAAGTATCTGGCAGCGCCGAAACCGGTTTGGCTCAGTGGATAGAGCGTCGGCCTGCAGATGAAAGGTCCCAGGTTCGATTCCAGTCAAGGGCATGTACGTTGGTTGCTGGCACATCCCCCGTAGGGGGTGTGCAGGAGGCAGCTGATAGATGATTCTCTCTCATCGATGTTTCTAACTCTCTATCCTCTCTCTTCCTCTGTGAAAAATCAATAAAATATATTTAAAAAAAAAAAAGTATCTGGCAGGTAGATTTACCTGCTCTGCTAATGCCAAATGTTCCCAACCAACTGGCCAGGAAAGAGAACCGAGAAATGAGTCCTGTCCTATGACTGAGCGGGAGGGCGTGGACAGACTACTGAGCCTGCCAACCACAACGTCCTTAGCCTCCACGTGCAGAGGAGACCACGTGCAGATGGAAGTGCTTCTGTTTCTCCCACAGCTGCTAGACTCCTGGCCCCGGGAAGTGGGGTCTGACCTATCAGCATGTTCCCAGCAGTGGGTTCTCCAGCAGCAGAGACATGTGGCCCTCCCACGTGCTCGCTTCCACCTCCCTCCTAATCTGCAGCTGCAACTCAGCACAAGGAGGCTGCCAAGCCTGGCTGTGCAACCAGGCACTTCCCTGATTAGAAGACAGATAACAACACCTAACATGTATGGATATTCAACCACTTAACACATTGGCGCATTTAATTTGCAGACTACCTGGGATTGGGCTCCATTATCATCATCCCCACTTGACAGACGAGAAATGGAGGCACAACTAAAGGCAGTAGGTTCCCAAGGCTCCAAAGCCGGTGCAGACCGGGCAGCCTGGCTCCAGACCCACTTTGACCCCTGTGCTCCTGCACGTCTGCCCAGGTACAGGGAGCCGGCCAGCTCTGCTAACGCCAAGCCCTGAGCAGGCCCCAGCCCCGGTGTCATGCTGGTAAAAGTCTGTTTATCTGCAGTCATGGAGTATTTACTCTCCAAAGGTCATGGATCTGGCAAATCGTGCTCAAATTATTGTATCTTGGGTCCCAGATTACCTTATTTAGCATAGATTTTTAAATAAAAATGATTTCATAAATCATCAATTCCACCACATAAAATACACCGTCCACTTAGTATAGGGGTGTCGAACTCAATCAGAGAAGGGGCCAAAATCTAAAATCCAGCCTAAATCGCGGGCCGAATGGTTTTTCTGAACAGTCATAAACTGTCATTGTGATGGAAACGCAGCAGAGTGCAGTGATGACAGCGCGGTGCGGGCCACATTGCAAGGCCTGGCGGGACGGATTTGGCCCGAGGGCCTTGTGTTTGACACATGTGACTTAGTAGAACCCTCAGGAAGTGCAAGTTTGAGAGCTGAAGCATTTCTCCCTTTAACGGAACGTCAGTCAAATGGTAACTCTCTTCCCCTCAGCCTGCCTGCCAGGTCGATTTTCCGAGTCAAGCACATTTTCCTACGGAGGGAAATGCCACTTGCCAGTGACCTGCTAAATATGTGTTCTTATTAATCACTGTTAAAGGAGTGTACACATGGCCCCTAAATGCAGATTTACAAGGAGTCACAAGTTCAGAGTAATTTTTTAGAATTTTACCTAAATCCAATGCACAGATTATCTCCAGGTGTTCCCACTGGGTCCTTTCACATGTTACCACACTTCAGATCACAAACCAATCCCTGGCTTGTTTCCAAATTCAAACTACATGGTATCAAATGTAATCTGTCTTTTTTTATTTCCTTTCCCCGACATCAACAATGCAGTAAGAAATTTACACTCAAGTCTACGGCCATACCACCCTGAACGCGCCCGATTTCCTCTGATCTCGGAAGCTAAGCAGGGTCGGGCCTGGTTAGTACTTGGATGGGAGAAATTTACACTCAAGCTTCTAATCTTTAAAATATAAAAAGAACAGAACTGCATTTGAAATAAAAATTAAATGACTATTAAGAACGTTTTGAAAGAATCAGGAAGTCGGGTGTGTGGTGTTTTTAAAAAGTCCTCAGTTGGTGAATGTTTGGCAGTGGTTAATAAACCCTTCAGGTCCCGAAGGAACATCGGGCCCTGCACCCGCACCATATGCATGTCCTTCTATCCACCTGCATCTTGAAGTTACTGTCTTATCTTACAGAAAAGTAAAATTTCAACGTCAACCTTTTCCTATTTTCTTCCAATAGGAAATCATTCTGCACTTCACCTCTAATCTCCTCTAGTCCCAAACTGAGAACAACAGAATTAAAGGGTGGCTGCTGTTGACTCAAACACAAACGTTGTAAACAAACCACTGTCAAAGGCTGAGTCATCCTTGGACCACAGGTAAGGAGCAGATCCCCTCCACATTTCCAGTTCCTACACTCGGTCAGCAATGGGGGCCAGGAGCCTGGGTCACCTGTCAAGCACGGAGGAGGGTCTGATTCAGGGAGACACACGTCCTAACCACGTCCTAACGGAGGAGACAGGTAAAGCCCTGCTTTCCTGCGGGGCCACGCACACCAGGAAGTTCTGGCTCTCATACACAACCCTTTAAGAAGAACAAGTTAAGTTCACTTTTTGAAATGCATAAGCCTCACAACAACAAAACCACAAAAGGGAAACAAAACACTTAAGTGCCTGCTAGGAGAAACTATTTTGCAACAGTTACTCCTGCTGTCCACGCGCCCCTCGGGCGGGCATTCCCTCCGCCTGGGCAGGAGGAGGCTGCTCTGGCTGCACCGCCGCGGCCGCCGGGTCCCTCCCCGGGCGGATCCCGCGCTGCACCCGCTCACCTGCCCCGGTCCCCGGCCCGGGCCCCGGCCCCGGCCGCCCGCAGCCCTCGCGGTGGCGGCACGTGACAAGCACCGCACAGCTGCTCCCGGTTCCCTCCCGCGCTGGGACAGATGACTCAGCGGCCCAACTTTCCAAGGACCGTCCCACCTGGTTACCCAACCGGCACCCGGAGCCCCGGTGACCCCCGGGCACCGCCATGGGTGCGAGCAACACCCAGCGCGGCCGCCCCCCGCCGAGCGCCCTCCTCGGGGCTGAGTCACCGCGGTCTCCGCTCCGGCCCCGGCCCCGGCCCCAGCCCCGCGCCGCCCGCCCGCCCGGCCCCGCACCGGAGGACACGGCCCGCCCGGCCCCGCGAAGCGCCCGGCGCCCGCTCCGCCAGAGCCCGGACGGAAGGCGCTGCCGGCCCAGCCCGCACCGGCCCCTCGGCGGGTCGGATCCCTAACGCAGCCCGTCGCTTCCCCGCGCCCGTCCCGTCCCCGCAGCCCATCGGCTCGCGCTCCCTCCCAAGGTCCGCGCCCCCCGCCCCCGCCGCGGCCCGTCCAGCCGAGCCCCCCGGAGACCGAGCGCGCCCCGGGGGCGGCGGGGCAGGAGGACCGCGCGGAGCCGGGCAGGCCGGGCGGGACCGGGGACCGGCGGGCTGGGCAGAGGCCCCGGACGCGGCCCGGCACGTACCCCGCTCCCGCCCGGGGAAGGGCGGCACGGCCGGTCCGCGGAGCGCCGGCGGGTCCTCCTTCCGGCGACGCGGCCACTTCCAGGAACCCGGCGGCAGCCGCCCCCGCCCCGCCCGCCCGCAGGCAGCCGCCCGCGCAGGCCCGCAGCCCGCCGCGCGGACCCGGGACCCTCCGGGAAGGGCGGGGGGCGACCCAGCCACTCACCGGAGCCGAGACGCGGCGCGGCCCGACGGACTGACAGCAGCGAGCGAGCCAGACGGACCGACGGACGGCGGGCGGGCAGCGGTCAGGTGACTCACCGCGGCCGGCCGCTCTCCTTTCTCCTCAGCCGCCGCCGCCGCCGCCTCCCGCCGCCGAGACCACGCCCCCTCCCGGGGTCCCGCCCCGAGGCCCTCCTCGCGATACCCCGGCCCGCCCTTCCCGGGGCGCCGAGGCCCCGCCCCCAGGCCCGCCTCGCGAGGTTTCGCACCGCCCTCGCTGGAGGCCCCGCCCCCAGGCCCGCCTCGCGAGGTTTCGCACCGCCCCCGCTGGGGGCCCCGCCCCGCAGCCCGGAGGCCAGGGTGCCTGCGGCTGAAGGGGTCCCCGGTGCTGAGTCCGCGCTGCCTGGGGCCGCGCTGGGTCGCGGAGGGAGCGCGGGCACGGGGAGGGGCAGCCTCGGGAGGCGGCGACGGGGCCGCTCAGCCAGCTGTTGGGGCGGAGAGGAGGAGGCTGACGGCCCTCGGCGCTGGTGATGCCTGGCTTCCCCAAATGGGCAAAGGCCCCCTTCCCTGCCTCCCTCCCCCCGGAGCCCGGGCTCCCGCGGTCAGAGCTGCGGGACGGGCGGGGAAACGTGGTCCCAGCCTCTTGGGTCGCTGGCGGGAGCCCAAGCAACGCGCCTGGGGAAGCTGGGAACTGCAGCTCGGGCGGGCAGGAGAGCGCCTCCTGCAACCCCGGACCCAGACACACCCAGGGTCCAGACAGACAGCACCCAGGGCCCAGACAGACAGCACCCTGGACCCAGACCCAGACAGCACCCTAGACCCAGACAGACAACACCCTGAACCCAGACCCAGACAGACAGCACCCTGGACCCAGACAGACAGCACCCAGAGCCCAGACAGACAGCACCCCAGACCCAGACAGCACCCTGGACCCAGACAGACAGCACCCCAGACCCAGACAGCACCCTGGACCCAGACAGCACCCCAGACCCAGACAGCACCCTGGACCCAGACAGCACTCAGGACCCAGACAGACAGCACCCAGGGCCCAGACAGCACCCTGGTCCCAGACAGACAGCACCCCAGACCCAGACAGCACCCTGGACCCAGACAGCACCCAGGACTCGGACAGCACCCAGGGCCCAGACAGACAGCAACCTGGACCCAAGCAGCACCCAGGGACCAGACAGCACCCAGGACCCAGACAGACAGCACCCTGGACCCAGGCAGCACCCAGGACCCAGACAGGACCTGCAGCCTCTGGCTCAGCAGCCCGCCTAAGCCAGTATCAGGTGTGTGTGAGCCCCTTCCTGTCATGGTCCAGCCAGCTCACCTGACTCCAGTCCCAACCAGAAGAGCCCCCAGCCCAGCCCATCAACTCACAGAATCATCTCTCTACCTAAGGGCCACCAGCCAATCAGGAGTGAGTATGCAAATTAACCCAACAAAGATGGCGGGTTGATTTGCATACATAGATGCTAAGTGCCCGGGCACAGAGCAGGACACAGGCGTTTAGCACCACCCCAGCCGCTCCAGGCCTCTGGGCAGTGTGGGAAGGCGGAAAGGCTGCTCTGGCCGGAGCAAAGGCGATGCCGGAAGCCAGGGGAACGAAGGCCCATTCTTGCACGAATCTTCATTCCTCAGCTATGAAATGCAGTGCAGGAGGGAGGATATAGATAATTGCACACTTCCTCTAACACATATAAAATAGAGAAATATGCTAATTAACCAGGACGCCATAACGAGTTGACGGACAGGAGAAGGTTGCACTCCAAGTGTCAGGGGCTGGTGGCAGGGGCGTCCACACACCTGTGCCGGTGGAGGGCCTGGTCAGCAGCGGCCACGGCTCCATCGAGGGCCGGAGAGGGAGGCAGGGCTGGACCCGTGACTCGAGGGTGGGAGGTGCCGTGCAATTTCTAGTGAGATGATGAAATGATTGTGGCCCTTGCCGGTCTGGCTCAGTGTTAGAGCATGGCTCCTGGCGCCGTGGCCTGCTGGATGCGGAGGGGAGCAGGGCCAGGGGGCTGGTTCCTCCAGATTCACCCTGAGAGTCGCCTTCACCTCCCTTTGCGTGGCTCTGGTGTGCACTGTCTGCAGCGGCGGGAGGGCCTGGGGGGCGGGGAGCATCAGCATCTGGCCCTCCGGCCCGCAGTACCTCCTGGTTAACTGACACGTTCCCTCCCCTCTCCTGCCTCCACGGCTCCGGGGCTGTGTGCCCTGTCGCCGGGTCACCACTGTGACCTGCAAGCTCCGTGTCCCAGTGGGTTTGACAAGGAGCAGCCCGCGGTGGCGGGTCCACGTGGTGCCGAGTCTGTGAGAGCAGCGAGGCTTTCTTCCCCGCACACCCCTCCCCTGAGGCCGCTTTGGGGGACTCTGTGTTCCACCCCCTCTTCCTTCCTCGCTGCGCACCACCCAGACCCCTTCCCCCGCGCTGGGCCCCGCTGTGAGCGACGGGCCCTCCATGGAACTGCCGGCAGCTCTTCCTTCCCAGTAACAAGGGGCTGTGCCCTCTGCGCCCCAGGAGAGGGGCAGGTGGCTGCCTCTGGGGCCACCCAGGGGGTCGAGGGCCGGGCCCCAAAGACCTCAGCTCCTGGGGCTCTGGGGCGGCGGAGCAGCCCAGCCGTGGGCTCAGCGCCTTTCGTAGCAGAGATACAGAAACCTCTCCGGTTCCCCGTCTGACGCGGAGTCTGAGTCCAGAGCCACAGGCCGCCCGAGCGGACACCCCTCCTCGAGCTCAGGGCGCTGGCAGGCACACGCCCATTGGGTGCCAACGCGGGCGCGGGGAACCCGAAGCGGCTGCCAGGTCTGTGGGAGCAGATTCGCCACCTCCACAGGTGACCTGCAGCAGGAGCCGGGCCTCCGATGGGAGGATGGAGAGCTGCCGTCTCCCCCGAGACATATCTAGGTCACGCATAAGAACACAGGGGTGCAGATAAGCCTGTTAAAAACACTCCAATAAAATTCCAGGAAACGGTTCTTTTAAAACATGGGACCCTTGCCAGGCGGGAGAGAGGAAGCTTAAAGCTCTCAAAACAACTTCACGGGTTTGAGCGCGGCAAAAACATCGGGAGTGTGCAATTATCTATATCCTCCCTCCTGCACTGCATTTCATAGCTGAGTAGTGAAAACCTGCACGTAATTAACAGTGCCAGACCTACGGAGGCAGAGCTGCTGTGAGTGGCCACCGAGGAGTCACTGGCTCTCTCTCTCCCCCGCCCTCTCTTTCTCTTTTTTCCCTCCCTTCCTCCCCCTTCCACTCCCTCTAATCAATGGAAAAAATATCCTCAGGTGAGTATTAACGGCAACAACAACAAAAAAGCAAAGCCTCCCGACTTTGTTCAGTAGCGAAAGCAGATCCTAAAATGGATCTTTCATAAGGGGCTGTGCCCTCTGCGCCCCAGGAGAGTGTCCTCCTGGCTGGCGTGGCTCTGTGGTTGAGCATTGACCTGTGAACCAGGAGGTCAGGGTTCAATTCCTGGTCAGGGCACAGGCCTAGGTTGCTGGCTCGATCCTCAGTGTGGGGCATGCAGGAGGCAGCTGATCCATGATTCTCTCATCAGGGATGTTTCTATCTATCTTTCCCTTCCTCTCTGAAATCAATAAAGTATTTTTTGTTAAAAAGTGAAGTGTCCTCATACGAACTTTAGAAAAGCAGGGAGAGCTGCATGCACGTCCATCCTGTTTCGTGGTAAGGAAGTTGAGGGTCGAATATGTCATGTCGTTGTCAAGTGTCACCATGAATGAGTACTTAAGTTCCAGGAAGCTACGTGATCCCGGCCCGTGTGGTTCAGTGGTTGAGTGTCGACCTAAGAATCAGGAGGTCAGGGTTTGATTCCCACTCTGGGCACAGGCCCAGGTTGTGGGCTCCATCCCCAGTGTGGGGCGTGCAGGAGGCAGCCGATCCATGATTCTCTCTCATCACTGATGCTCCTTTCTCCCTCTCCCTCTCTCTCTCTCTCTCTCTCTCTCTCTCTCTCTCTCTCTCTTTCCCCCCCCCCATCTCCCTTCCTCTCTGAAATCAATAAAGATATACTTAATAAGTGAAGGAAGTCAGAGGAGCTGTTGGGAGAGCGGAGAGACCTTGAGAGAGAACAGGGGTCATGGCTGCCCGCCCGGGGCAGGAACAGCGCTGTGCCACCTGGATCGATCGGCGTGAGGGCCCGAGGGAACCGAACCAGAGCACCAGGGAGTTCCTCCCAGAAGCAGACGGCAGACAGGCTCCAACAGGCCAGCCGCCTGGAGAGAAACGCCTGGTGAGAGGAAGTGGGCGCAGCCAGCAACGACGAAGTCACAGGCTCCTGCAAGTCTCAACTCAAGCAAAGAAGAGAGCCGGAGAGCCGGAGAGCCGGAGAGCCGGAGAGCCGGAGAGCCGGAGAGCCGGAGAGCCAGAGAGCCGGAGAGCCGGAGAGCCGGAGAGCCGGAGACGGCCGCGGGAGGGCCCTGACATGGGCAGAGCCCACGGGGGGGCAGCAACGCCGCCAGGAAGTCCGGCCTACCCCAGCCGTGGCCTGAGCCCTGGGCTCCACGAGCAGCTCTGCCTCAGTACCCCACCCAGCACGCCCCATGGGAACCACGCATTTCAAAGCTGCCAGCGTGGCCCTGACCCGTGAGAGCGACCCCACAGAAGGCCTGGAAGGTACACTTCCACGCCATTTATCCGTCCCCACAGCGTCTCTGGATGTTATAAAGCAACCTCCCTCTTCTTGTCGCTCACGTAAAGAAGATGCAGCTAGTCACCTGTGCCATCCCCTGCAGGCAGCCATCCCCGTGCGAAACACTCACGTGTTTGTTCCCCATGCGGTCCCCACCGCAGCCTGCGCAGCAATGTTCTCCCTCGCGCCTCGCAGGGGAAGAATCCCAGACCCGGAAGGTTCAAGAACTCCCCTGGCCACACAGTTAGTGAGGGTGATGCCAGCATTCGCCTCAGCATGCTGCCTTCCAGGAGGGCATTTAGGGGCAACCAGTTCAGCAGGGGAACAGTTAGGCATCAATCAGGCTGGCAGGGGAGTGGTTAGGGGGTGATCAGGCTGGCAGGAGAGTGGTTAGGGGTGATCAGGCTGGCAGGGGAGCAGTTAGGCATCGATCAGGCTGGCAGGGGAGTGGTTAGGGGGTGATTAGGCTGGCAGGGGAGCGGTTAGGGGTGATCAGG